TGTTTCTTTAATATTGATCAAATACTTTCCCATTTTTCTTGCAATTACTATTAAAGTTAAAACTGGTTATAATCTAAATGGTCTAGATTAGATAAATGGAGTGTAACCAAAGAGTATCAGAACAATCACTTCCTTTTCAGATTTTTTTAATCTATTGTATTGTGCTGGGTTATTTCACTACAATTGAAAGCAAATATGGTAGTAGTGAATGTCACCCATTTAAAAGACAGTCTGACATAAACTTTTTAAAGGGCTCACTGTACCTTTCATTTTATTTTTTTGTCAACCTAACTGCATGTTTGGCACTGCCTTTATCAGGCTTCTTCTACACTGCTCCTATATCCCCAGATCAGATTCAAGGCACCTTCCACATGGCTGTATAAATCAATATTGAACTGGATTATATGGCAATGTGGATTCATTTCAGAGATAACCCAGTTCAAAGCAGATATTGTGAGTTATCTGCCTTGATATTCTGGGTTATACGGCTGTTTGGAAAGCCCTCCAGAATATCTGTTTATTCCAGTTTATCTGTTAGTGGAGACTCATATAATCCAGTTTAAAGTAGATAACTGTGGATCCTGGGATATAGGGCAGTGCAGAAAGGGCCTCAGAAAGGTTTGTGGTAACTCAAAATCCCCAAGCGTGTTGCTGGCTCTTTTTAATACACTACACACAGGCCCGTAGCCAGGATTTCATTTCGGGGGGGGGGGGGGGGGGGTAAAAAATTTTTGGGGGGGGTTCGGGGGTGGGTTTCGGGGGGGGGTGAGTCTGAATGAAAGAGGGTCTACCCTAGCAAACCTTTGTTACCCCAATACCCCCATGCATATGGGATATATTGAGTATGGTGATCAGATCATGATATGAATAAACATAACAGTTTAAATAATGCACCAGTAAGGCCTTTTCGCGAACCACCATGAGAATTTCGGGGGGGGGGGTGAAGCCCCTCAAGCCCCCCCCCCCCCCCCCCCCGGCTACATGCCTGACTACACACACTTATTTTTGCAGAAAGCAAGCAGAAGCAGACACACAATGTGACTTTCTAGGACATTTTCACCTGCACTGGGCTAAATAATGTTCTCAAATCTCAGTGACTACAAATCTTATTGTTTAAACAAAAACAATATTGGATGCTAAACATATAAAATGAGTTTTTAATATCCCACCCAACACAACATATCAAGACTCACTCCCCCGACCCCAAAGATCTTATGCTTTTTGTGTCTATTGAGGGATTGACCATACAGCAGAGAAGCAGAGAGGAAATGTTATTATCAGCAAGTTGGTAAAATGAGATTTAAATTTGAGTAAATGCAACTAACCTCTCACTTCTTTAGGAAAGATGCACCCCAGTCGGGTTAAGGAGGTCCCTGCAAAAACTTAGCCAATATTGTACTGAAAATGCCCTCATTATAAATAAAGAAAAATCCAAAATAATGGTTTTTGGTAAGAAAGCTAAGGCTTCCAACTGGCACCTTGACGGGCACAAAGTGGAGCAAGTGAGGACATTTAAATACTTAGGTCTTCATTTTGCGGCATCAGGGGCATGGACCCAACATCTAAAATTAAGTATTGCAAAAGCTGATAATGCTGCACAGGCAATTCATAAATTATGCAACCACAATTACCCGGGCTCTCTGCGCCCCTTTCTGAAGGTTCTTAAGGCAAAGGTGTTCCCCATCGCCTTGTATGGAGCTGAAATATGGGGTGAGCAAGACCCTTTACTGGTAGAGGGATTCCAACTGCGCCACCTGAAAATTGGCTTAGGTGTGGAGAGATCATCCCTGTCAGCTGCAGTGAGAGCAGAGACGGGAGTACCCCCAATCTCCACCACAATTCTGAAGAGGCAGATCAATTGGTGGTACAAAATACGACAAATGCAACCACACAGACTCCCAGCCCTATGCCTTCTAGAACAAGAAAACCACAAAGAGTGGTCATCTTGGCTTAGCAGATTTGGCCACACAGTTAGCAGGTTAGGTTTCGCCCCCCACGAGTTAACAAATTTTGGGGCAAATGTATGCTCAATTGTATACCAAAGAGCTCTCGACATTGCTGCACAAAATGATCTAATGAACATAGCGCAAGCTAGAGCCACTCCATACCTGGCCAAATTTAAATGTAATGTGGGCATGGAACCTTACCTCTCTTTTATACTTCCACTCTATCTTAGAAAAGTTTTTACCCGGGCTAGATTTGAGCAGCTCGACATTAAGTCCAAGTTGGGACGACATCAGAATATCCCCTACACGAGGAGAACCTGTGGGTGCCGTGAGGTAGATGCAGAAGTGGAGGACTCAGAACATTTTTTCTTAAAATGTCCCTACTACAACAGGATCCGGTCTTACTACCTAGAGCCTCTGCTGGAGAACCATACTTATTCAGAAAATAAGGAGAAATTGCGCATCCTTCTTCAGGGTTCAGATAAAAACTCTATTTTAAAATTGACCCTTTTTACCCAAAAAGCGCTGGCCATCCGTGAGAAGATGGAAGCAGAGAGAGGCGACCTTGCTGCCATCAACAAAACTCAAACTTAAAAACTTAATATGGACACGCCACTAGTTTTACCTACCCATGCCCCCCACCCTAACCCTATTTTAAGGAATTAATCAATTTTTAATCTTTTAACCTCTTTATCTTGTAGTTGCTCAATTATTTAGGGAGTGGGTCGACAGGCCAGTAGGCCATGATGCCTTGTGTTCATATATGGTTTTACTGTATGTGTATGTTTTGTATGTTTTGCATGTTTTGATATGGTCAAAATTGACTAATCAATAAAGAATTGTTGTTGTTAGGAAAGATGATTTGTGGGTGGCTAAGACTGCAGATTTATCAGGGATGTTTCTATGTATTGAGAATATGTCTTAGGGCCCTTCCACACAGCCCAATATCTCAGAATATCAAGGCAGAAAATCCCACAATATCTGCTTTGAATTGGGTTATCTGAGAGCCCTTCTACACAGCCTTATATCCCAGAAATTCAAGGCAGAAAATCCCACATTTTCTTGTTTGAATTGGAATATATGGCAGTGTAGACCCAAATAACCCAGTTCAAAGCAGATATTGTGGAATTTTCTGACTTGTTCTTCTGGGATATAGAGCTGTGTGGAAGGGTTTTCTGCACAGAACAAACACATATGTGTCCATAAAATGTGAACTATGTAACAAATTAACTGAACATGCATTTGAAGCAAAATATTCAGAATTTTCAAGGCTGAATCAAAGGATATTCCAGTTCATAGTCCTCTAAATCCAATATAAGGGTTTGGAGCATGAAAAGCTTTTAAGACTTGTTACTCAAAACTTCACCAACTTCACTGAGGAAAAAAATAACTTAAAGGCACATAGTAAGTGGAAAATAGTACAAATTGTGGGTTGATTTTGTACAATAGCAAAACCTTTCATTTACTCCCTATTTTGAATCAGGATCTAGTTCCTTTAGATATTGGAACATCTGTGTTTTTTTTAAAAATGCTTTAAGGCTGGTTGGCTGTATTAGAAATCAAATAAAGCAATCAGATAAAAATCATGCTTGCTATCTATCACTGAGATAGAACAAATGTGTAAGTCCCTAATGAAAGGCACAATCATGTATTGCAGAGGATGCAGTGCAGGTGGTTAGTACCAATAGCAAATGACTCATTTTATTTATTTATTTATTTGCTTTATTTCTATACCGCATTTTTCAGCCTAATTAGGCGACTCAATGCGGTTTACACAATGCAGGTTATCACAACAATAAACAGTTAAAAACACATCATACACAACAACAAAATCAACAATTATTATCAATTCATGACGCCTCGATAACAGAACAAAATCCATTCTCATAATCCTTGTGCCATTCCTATGTTCAATTTTACTGTCTTCCTGTGTTCAGTTGCACTGTTTAGCCAAACGCTTGCTCATAGAGCCAAGTCTTAACCTTCCTCCGGAACGCCAACAGCGAAGGGGCCTGTCTGATGTCTACAGGTAGGGCATTCCATAGCCGAGGGGCCACCACCGAGAAGGCCCTGTCCCTCGTCCCCGCCAACCGTGCCTGTGACGCAGGCGGGACCGAGAGCAGGGCCTCCCCGGACGATCTTAATGTCCGCGTCGGTTCATAGGTGGAGATGCGTTCGGAGAGGTAAGTGGGGCCGGAACCGTTTAGGGCTTTGTAGGCTAACGCCAGCACCTTGAATTGTGCCCGGTAGCAGATTGGCAGCCAGTGGAGCTGGCTCAACAGAGGAGTGGTATGCTCCCTGAGTGCCGCTCCTGTTAACAACCTGGCTGCCGAGCACTGGACCATCTGAAGCTTCCAGGCAGTCTTCAAGGGCAACCCCACGTAGAGCACGTTGCAGTAATCATTCTACTAGTCCCCCTCTGGCCTGTTTGATCAACCAGGAAGGGCAAAGATCTAGAATACATGTGGTAGCTCTCACCTCTCTAACGATCCTCTAACATCCCCAAGATGTACAAATTGAAAGATATCCATCAACACTGGATAAGCAGGAGCCACAGTTCCATCCATTGGAACTGTATACATAACAGCATCCAAGTCAGAACAGTTGTGAATGACTTTATCTGCAAAATGCCTTGCAAATTCTGCACAGTGGGCTGTTGAATGGTCAGTATTTTTCTCTCTGAAGACTAGTATGTAATAGCTTTCTGACCACTCAAAACAGCTCTGTTGGGCAGTTTGTTGTAGGTGTAAAAATAATGTTATAAGTCTGGTTGGATACATTAGAACCCAGATAAAGCATTTAGACAAAATCATGCTTGTTATCTAGCAGTGAGATGGAACAAATGTATAAGTTCCTAATGAAAGGCACAATAATTTATTGCAAAAGATTTGGTGCTGCTGGATAGTACCTATAGCAAATATATCATTTGAATGATAACTTTGGATTTGAAATTCTGATGTAGAATTGTCAGTTTATGATTGAAATCTCTACCAGATGAATTAACTCTCTCATATTTTTCTGTTTTCTTTTCTTCTAAAGATGAGCTGAGTGGAAATGGATAATCAGTCTTCTGTCTCTGAATTTCTACTCCTTGGATTCTCAGAAATCTGGGAACGAAAGATTATGCATTTCACCCTGTTCCTGATTTTGTACCTTACAACTGTAGCAGGGAATGCTGTCATCATCTCTGCAGTAGCACTGGACTATCATTTGCATACCCCCTTGTACTTCTTTCTGATGAACCTGGCAATTCAGGACCTAGGGGCTGTTTCAGTTACTATCCCCAAATATATTATTAGTGCTTTTATAAATGATAGACATATTTCTTATGTGGGATGTGTGGTTCAAGTCTTTTTCTTTATCTTCTTTATAGGCTGTGATATTGCTCTACTTACAGTCATGGCATATGACCGCTATGTTGCTATTTGCAATCCATTACAGTATGAAATGATCATGAACAGAAGAGCCTGCACACAAATTGTAGTTAGTGCATGGTTTGCCGCCCTTCTCAATGCCATATTGCATACTGGTGCGACTTTTGCAACCCCTTTCTGTTCAAACGTTGTCAATCAGTTCTTCTGTGAAATCCCACAATTACTTAAGCTTGCCTGCCCTGACTTATATCAAATTGAAATAGGAGCTATTGCATTTAGTTTTGCGACTTGGCTTAGCTGTTTCATCTTTATTATTGTAACATATGTGTACATTTTCACTGCTGTTCTGAAGATTCCTTCTGTTCAGGGAAGGCAAAGAGCTTTCTCAACATGCATACCCCACCTCATTGTTGTCTCTGTGTTTTCATTGACCTCTGGCCTTGCCTACCTGAGGCCCACTTCTAGCACACCATCAACTCTGGATCTGCTATTTACCATAATGTATTGTATTCTGCCACCTATGCTGAATCCTTTAATCTACAGCATTAGAAATACAAACATCAGGGTTTCTCTGTCAAGACTTTTAGGCTCAAGGTCATCAGTCAAGTAAACTTTCACTATTTGTCTTTTATATGTTGATATTTTATGTTCCTGTTTGTCTATTTTTATTTATGTAATAGCTTGGGTACCAGGTGATGCTTGGGTTATTTAAAAAAGGAATTGCTTATCTTTTTTTTTATGTTATTAATGGACCATTAGAAATTGGTCCATATCCATAACTGATGGGGTTAGCAGTAGTCTTTGAGTGTGGGTGAAGTTACTGCAAATCATTCAAGGTCTATCCTCACCCAAACCTCACCAGGAAGTAAAGTGCATCATGGTGGGAGGTCTGCCATTGGCGGGGGTCGCAGTGGTCTCTGGAGGCTGGTGAAGGGACATTATCTGTGGTCTATCCTGCCCAAACCTCACCAGGAAGTAAAGTAGGTCATGGGTAACGCCAAGTAACTTCTCCGATACATGACTTCAGCTTCTTCCTTTTTTTATCATTCCCTTAGAGGTCATTATCTCTCTTCCCCCTCTCCCCTTCCTGAGTTGAATATTTTCCTTTCTTTTTAGTAGAATTCATTATAGCTTTCCCTCTCCTTCTCTAGATGCAGTTAGACAAGTCTTCTTTCTCTGGCTCACACATGCATAAGGTGCATTTCCATTGTAGAATTGAAGTTTGATATCACTTTAACTGCCATAGCTCAATGCTATGGAATCATGTGAGTTGTAGTTTTAGCTTTACAATGCCTTCAGCCTTCTCTGCCAAAGAGTGCTGGTGCTTCACTGAACCACAAATCCCAGGATTCCAAAGCATTGAGCCAAGACCATTAAAATGGTGTCAAATTGCATTAATTCTACAGTGTAGAGGCACCCAAATACACACTTGGAACCTTAGAAAACTCATTTTAAGCAAGCAACCCATTATTTAAGAATGCTAGATGATAACTGGATACCTAATCACCCCAACTCACACACTTCTCTGTTCTCCATATATAATAAAATAATGCATGTCAGATGTATCATACCCCTCCCAATCAATAATGTGAAAACAGAAAACCTTTACTCATGGTCTTTCTCTGACTGTCACCAGAGCTATGTTGTCAAACATTTTGGCAAAGGAGAATCTATTGGGATGAAAGAACTGCCCCCAAAACACGTCCTGAAAGACATGTCACTAGCAGAGAGAATGAGCTGCAGACAGGTCTACCCATCACACACAAAACCCTGTGCTTCTGATGTGCACTGTGAATTTAAAGATGTTTGAAGTACATTGTTTCCTGTTTCTTTTGAAAAGTACTCACAGCAGATTTTTTGTTTATGATTACCTATGAATGTCCAATGAAATTGGCCTTGTGCTATGTTATAGGATCCGTAAGCACCAGTAGACAAAGAGCATCAGAGACAGAATACGAGCGTGTGTGATAAGGTCTTTGTAAATATAAGAGGAGAAGAAGGGCATTACATTAAACAAAATATGTATTTAATCATAATAATAGAAAATCAAGTATCTTTGCATTTTCTGTTCTTTGTCCTTCATATTTGGTTCCTAATTAAGTGAATTTGAAGCCAGAAGTATGTAGAGAAAGAGGCATAAGACAGTGTTGAATAAAATAAATGTCTTTCAAACTGTAAGATTCTGTATTTCCATGTATATTTCCAGTTCTCTCTTTCTTTAAATCTCTGTGTGATTGAAATAGGAAGTGTGCTATTCTTGAATTAAAGGAGATCCCAGGCTGGAAGGAGAGAGGCGTTGCTTTTTTAGATCCTGTAACAAGCCACGGTTCTCTTTATCCTGGAACAAGGGTCATTTGTCATTTTTCCTACAGACAAACAAAGAAGTTTAAAAGTCACATTGACATATATTTTGTGCTGGGACATTTTCTCCAGAAGCAATGGAGAGCACTCACAGATGTATTTGTGGACCTCTTCATACAGGGCTAAAATCAGTGGCATGCATCAGTTTAGCCCAGGTCACCCAAAGAGCCCGCCAGCTCCTATGAAATGGTGCTGGTGTGGCTCCTTGGGTGAAGGAAGGTGGAATCTGCACATGCCGCCGTCACAGATCCATGGCGGGAAGCTATGCTGTCCATGCAAACTCAATGCTTCCTCCCATCTGGTCACCCGCAGCTGGAGATTGGCAATGTGGGGCATGGAGTTCCCTATGCCCCTCAACTCCAGGGGCCATGTGACATGGTCATTAGACAAATGGCAGCGGGTGGGGGGGGGAAGTAAACACTTGTTTCCTTGTAGAAGACAAACATCTTATATTTTGAGACTTGAAAGAGATAGTTGACTTTGTGTGACATGACCAGCTTCTTTTATTTGGTTGGCTAGGATAAGATGAGACAGATTTTGCAACTCTTGCCTAACTTGGAGCTCTATTGTATTTCTGCAGAAACGTGTCCAATGCTTGAGTTAATAAAGTAGTCCTAATAACTGTTTTCTGCATCTTCTTGGGAGGCGGTAGAGCAGTTATCATAATTTACAATGGTCAATGGCGAATATGACTGAATTTTCTGAAAATATTACTTCTGCACAGTATATTACTTGAATTCAGAAATGGTGTCATATTAACCATTTAATAGCATCCTGATATGAATTAGGTTTGTATGAAGCCCTTTCTACACTGCCATATAAAATCCAGATTATCTGCTTTGAACTGAATTACATAGTAGTGTTGACTCATATAATCTAGGCCAAAGTAGATAATGTGGATTGTCTGCTTTGATAATCTGGATAATATGGCAGTGTAGAAGGGGCCTGAGTTTTTGTGATTTCGGGTGCTTAGGTCAGTGAAGTGAGGTTAATAATGTAACTGATTTCCTTTACCCTTTTACTACTGAACTTTCATGGTGATCTCCTGGGGACAAAACTCCAGAAATGTAATTTGTTTCTTTTATACCTTTACCGCTGAACTATAATGGCCACTCCTGGGAATAAATCTCTAGAAACTGGGGAGAGGGAGTGAATAAATCTTCTTAAAAGAGTTCTTCATCATAGATCAAAAGGGAAGACATTTATAAAGTGGCATGGATGTTTAGAGAAGTCAACAGCCATTTAACATTAAGAGAGAAGAAACTACAGGTAAGAAAAACACTGTGGTTTGGAATATTTATATTATTTCAGTCATTTCTGAAATGTTCTGACATTGAAAACTAGAACAGATTTCCCTTCTCTGCTTTACAGTTTAATTTTTGTTTAGCTCTGTGTTAATGATGACTTTAATATACTGGATAATAAGAATCTACACTGCCAGAGGAGAGTAGTTCCAGCCAAATATTACAAAATGGTAATTGAAGGCAGGACCTACATTGTTGATATGCTGAAATATTTTTTAAGTATTTTCAATTCTATGTACAGCAGTATGTGAGGAATGTCTGAAAAGTATTCCTTTTGAAATAATAGTCCCTCACCGTATTCTTATCTGTGATTATTCTCTAGTATAGCTGTCTATGGCTGGATCTCCACTGCCCTATATTCCAGGATTTGATCCCAGATTATCTGCTTTGAACTGGATTATATGAGTCTACACTGCCAGATAATTTGGGGTAAGATGATAGTCTGAGACCAAATCTTGGGATATAGTGCAGTGTAGATCCTTCCTATCGCAACTCTTCAATTACCATTTTATAATCTTTGACTGGAATTACACTGCCCTGGCAGTATAGATTTGTACAATCCAATTCAAAGCAGATAAGCTGGGATCAGATTCTGGGATATAGGGTAGTGTAGATCCAGCCTTTATTTATTCTTCTTTCATAGCCCCTTTGTATTATTCAATCTAGGGAATCTCTGGAAACAAGATGGGAACTTTAGTCCCAAACCTTTTGCTATGTCATTGAGCTACATCAATTCTTGAGATTTATTCCTTAATTATTTGCTAAATGCTTATTTAGATAAAGGTAAAGGTTTTCCCCTGACATTAAGTCCTGTCCTGTCCGACTTTGAGGGTTGGTGCTCATTTCCATTTCCATTTCTAAGCCAATGAGCCGGAGTTGTCCGTAGACATCTCAAAGATCATGTGGCTGGCATGACTGCATGGAGCACCGTTACCTTCCCACAAGAGCTGTACCTACTGATCTATTCACATTTGCATGTTTTCAAACTGCTAGGTTGACAGAAGCTGGGGTTGACAGTGGAAGCTCATGCCGCTCCCCGGATTTGAACCTGAGACCTTTCAGTCAACAAGTTTAGCAGCTCAGTGGTTAACCCACTGTGCCACCAGGGGCTCCAAATGCTTATTTACTTCTGATTAATTGCTGCCACATGATATATCTGATCAGAGACCAGGAGAAGCAAAGAAGTAAAATCTTCCTCATCACTGAGAGAATCAATCATGATTGGCTTTCATGGATATACTGGTGAGTTAACACTTTACAATTGTCATCTGATAAATGGTAATCTTGATTCAGCAATTAGTGTCGTCGTTCTTCTAGGCTTGATGACCCCGTGTTCCCAGATATGATCAATCATTCATAAGAGGAAAGTAGGGGTTTTCTGTAGGAATTTTTTAAAGCACCAATTCTCACAATTGAGAGCAGTGTCACAAAGATTCTCCAAATGCTTGATTTCCTTCCCTGAAATGATTCCATAGCACTGAGCCATGGCAGTTAAAGTGGGGCTAAGCTGCATCAATTCTAGAGTGTAGAGCCACCCTCATTCTGTATCCAGTCTTGCATAAATGAAGTAATTGGATTCCACTTGGGCTACCACATATTCTTTTTACAGAAACCTGGAATTTTTAACTTGGTGAAATATTTAGAATTTTCTAGGGTATTCACTAATGACAATGATTTATATATATATATATATATATATATATATATATATATATATATATATGAATGAGAGAGAGAGAGAGAGAGAGAGAGCTTTCTAAAAAAATTGAATGCCAATCAGACAATCAAGAATTAATGAGAAAAACAGTAAGAATATGGCTCCCAAATAAGATAACAACCTAGCTAGTAAGGAGACTTCAAAGATAAGCTCTAATGAGAATGAAATTTATTTCCCAGAAACTAGTGTAGAAAGTCTATAGGTCAGCTAATGCCAATAACATCTTGAAAAAAGTGAAGCTGGGTGAAAGGTATTCATTTGCACTGAACTTTTCATTCCTCCTTTTGAATGAGATTTAAATGTCTTTCGTTACTGTTTGTTGTTGTAGTATTTTTGATATGCGTGTACACATCTATCCATTTGTTTAGCTTATTAGAAGTATTATATTCATCCAATCATAGCTTTTTATGTTAATCGATAGATGTTCTGTCAATATAAAGATGCTGTTTAAATGAACATATTTTGCCAGACTGGATTTGATGAATTGCAGTTCCTCAGTGTAGTCCTAATGCCGCGACCCGCATATACCGTTCCTCATGTTGTGGTGACCCCCCAACCATAACATTATTTTTGTTACTACTTTCATAACTGTAAATTTTCTACTGTTATAAATCGTAATGTAAATATCTGATATGCCGGATGTATTTTAATTCACTGGACCAAATTTGGCACAAATAACCAATATGCCCACTTTTATGGTGAAGTTTTTTTTTTGGGGGGGGGGGGTTGAGTTTGTCATTTGGGAGTGGTAACTGCTTGGATTTATAGTTCACCTATAATCAAAGAGCATTTTGAACTCCACCAGTGATGGAATTGAACCAAATTTGGCACACAGAACTCCCATGACCAACAGAAAATACTGGAAGTGTTTGGTGGGCACTGACCTTGAGTTTGGGAGCTGTAGTTCACCTACATCCAGAGAGTCAAGCTAGGATGGATCTGAACCAAACTTGGCACAGATACTCAGTATGCCCAAATGTGGACACTGGTGGAGTTTGGGGAAAATAGACCTTGACATTTGGGAGTTATATTTGCTAGGATTTATAGTTCACTTACAATCAAAGAGCATTCTGAACCGCATCAAAGATAGAATTAGACCAAACTTCCCACACAGAACCCCATAACCAACAGAAAATACTGTGTTTTTCTGATGGTCTTTGGCGACCCCTTTGACACCCCCTTGTGACCCCCCCTCTGGGGTCCCAACCCCCAGGTTGAGAAACTCTGGTGTAGTCCATCGCTACAGAATGAATAAGCAGCTGATGAAGTGATTTGCTTTTGCTGTCATTTTATGAGCATCACTCATTGAGCTATATCAGTGTTACTACAGCTCTAAATTCCCAAGAGGGAAAATAAAATCTCAGGATACTATAACAGAGATTTATGATAGTTAAAATGATATCAATGATGTATAATTGTACAATATAGACAGACCAATTACTTTGGAATTGATTGTCCTAAAATACCTCACTTTCAGATGAAATAGTGTTTTGATGTCATCCACACAGGATGTGAGTTCTTAAGTGCAACAACTGTGATAATAGCAATACCAGCAGCTTACAAATCATACCATATGTACTCTTGACATCATTTCTTTGTTTCTCATTCAAAGAACTGTCATTGTGCTTTTTTCCCATAGGGGGACTTAGTGCTGAAAAACAAAGTCCAATGAATAAATCTTCTCTCTCTGAGTTTCTTCTCCTGAAATTCTCAGAAGTTTGGGAGCTTCAAATTCTACACTTCATACTGTTCCTTGTCTTTTACCTGACAGCAGCAACTGTGAATATTCTCATTGTCTCCGTAATAATCTCTGACTATCACTTGCATAACCCCATGTACTTCCTTCTAATGAACTTGGCCATACAGGATGTGGGACAAATTTCAGTCATTTTCCCTGCTTCCATGGCCAATTCTCTTATGAATGATAGTCACATTTCTTATTCTGGATGTGTTGCTCAAGTACTGTTCTTTGTATTCTTTATATCATCTGACTACTTTCTTCTGACAGTCATGGCCTATGATCGCTATGTTGCCATTTGCACTCCATTACAGTATGACATGGTGATGAATAGGTATACCTGCCTTCAAATGATTACTGCTGTATGGATTGTTAGCTTGTTCTATGCCGTATTACACACTGTAGGCACATTTTCACCTGCCTTTTGCTCTAATGTTGTCAATCAATTTTTTTGTGAAATCCCACACTTACTTAGGCTTGCCTGCACTAACTTGTATATGACCGAAATTGCAATCCTTTCGCTGAGTGCTGTCATAGCAGCAGGCTGCTTTCTGTTCATTGTTGTGAGTTATGGGCACATCTTAACCATTGTCATGAAATTTCCTGCTGGGCAGGGAAGGACAAGAGCTTTCTCAACTTGCCTCCCCCACCTCACTGTTTTCTCTGTTTTAGTATTTACTACCTATCTAGCTTACTTCAAGCCTTTCTCTGATTCCCCTTCATTCCTTGATTTGGCAGTGACTATGATTTATTCCATGGTACCACCATTGATTAATCCACTCATCTACAGTATAAGAAACAAGGAGATAAAAAATGCTTTGAAAAAAATATTCTGTAGCTACTGTAATACGATGTCTTAATGGCAATTTCCTGATTGTCGACCCTACAAGTGGTGAATTGCAACAGCCCTTTTTTGTTATTTCAAAAAGCTGATTACACTAGGATTCTACATGGTCACAGCAAACTCTGCTCTGTGTAATTGTTTTGTTATGAATAACAGTGTCAGCAGTAGCAATACAACAAAAATGCAAATTTGGAAGTGCACATATATGGTCATATTTATTTGTACAATATAAGACCTAGAACCTCAAACAATGGCTGATACCAAATGAGAGACTCCCTCCTGGGCACACAGAAAACTGGGTGATTTGGAAGGCACTGTGCTCTGGCACCACAAGATGCAGTGCCAACCTTAAGAAATGGGGCTACAAAGTGGAATCCATGACATGCGAGTGTGGACAAGAGCAAACGACAGACCACCTACTACAATGCAACCTGAGCCCTGCCACATGCACAATGGGGGACCTTCTTATAGCAACACCAGAGACACTCCAAGTGGCCAGCTACTGGTCAAAGGTTATTTAATAAAATGCCAAGCTTGCAAACTTTGTGGGGTTTTTTTTGTTTCTTTTGTTATTTGTTTTAAAAAAATACAACTGTTTGGTTTGCTCCTGACACAATAAATAAATAAATAATAACCATATAAGAGCATGACAACCAAGGCTACTACCTATTTTCCTACTACTTAAAAAAATCATAGTAGACATTGCAACATTAGGTTTGAAAACTAATTTGAAAATTCTCAAATGTATACATTGTGAAATTAAATCGTTAGTGTTAATTGAATTGGTTTATTCTAGTCAGCTATTTTCAATAAACACACTGTTTAAAATACTAATTTCCAGCGGAGGCCATAGGATTTTAAAAGAAAGGCCTGAATTCAAATGTGCTAGAGGGCACATTTTTTATTTGCATCTTCAAAAGTGTCCTTTTCATTGTTTTTAATTTATCATACCAAAACTGTAATTTCCCCCTATCTGGTTTTCAAAGTTCTTCATAAAATTGTTGTCAGGGTTTGTGGAAGCCTGGCCTATCTAGATAAGAGAACATAAAGTGTTATAAAAGTCAATCTTGTTTTTCTTTGGCCTGATCACCATAAGGAAGGCACTGGGGGCAGGAGTAGCAAAATTGGGTAGAAGACTGAGAACACAGCATTCTTAAAAATGTTGTTTGGGAAAACAAGGTCTCTTGTGGCAGAGAATGCAAAAAGTCCTGCCCTAAACTACATTTCCCAGAATGCCGTGCTCAGCATCAGAAAGCCCCAATGGCACCAGCTGTTTAGTATTAGTTTAATAATAATAAATACAATTATTGAATCTGCAAAGAGTACTAAAGTAAGTAAGTAATAGTATAAATCTGTGCTACGTTACATGGTTGTGTGTCATACAGACAGACAGACATTAAAGAGGATTGCTGTTGTCGCTTTTTGGGGGGATAAATTGTTTTTTCTAAACTTTTAAAAATTCCCAAAAATCTGTAGCTGTGTGAATCTTTCTGAAACTTCTGGGGATTGATGCCCTGGCTATCTTGTGCATTGTATATAAAAATCAAGTAGATAGCTTTTGTAGTTTTTTTTTTTAAAAAATGTTTTCAAAAATCCAAAAATATCTCTAAAATTAGTTGATGAGTGTAAAATTCTGAAATTTGATGGGCTAACAGTGGAAATACACCTTTGAATTTTTACAATGCCCTGTCACAGTTGGGCCACTAAGGCAATGGCACTACTTGCTTGATTAACCATCTGCTCCTATGGAGGAGGTCTGACAAGAAAGATCAAGAACACAATTGAATTATTTTTCAGATGGATTATCATGCTGGGAATAATCAATGATTCATTTATATCTCCCCCACAGAGTACAGGCTGCAGAAGGGAGAATGTGGGCATCCAATCTGCTGATCATATCTCCCCCCTAAATGCTCCATTCCTGATCATTATTATTGCCACCAAAGCAAACTGCCCTGTGTTTGCTGCCAAAGCCATTTTGCTCAAGGATATGATAACACATGTTGCTGGGATAAAACTCTGGTTCAGTTCCAAGATCCAACCCCCCTCCCCTAAAAAAAAACCCTTCAAAATCCTATTTGCTCATTTCTGTACCATTTTAAAGTAACCTTTAACCAGGGTCCTTCCCATATTATCCTGAACTTTCCAAGAACCATTTCATAATTACTATTCTATAGCTCTCTTTTCACTATCAAGATGTCCTCTCTGTGTACAGGCAAGTATTCTTCTGAAGCCCAGCTTGGTTCAGTTGGAGAGACTTGGATTACAACTCTGGAGTCCAAGTTTCAAATACCTGTTCACTCATTGAAATCTACTGGATGACCTTGGGCAAGTCCCATTCTCTCAGGCTGGATCTACACTGCCATATAATCCACATTATCAAAGCAGATAATCCACAATTTGTACTTTGAACTGGATTATATGAGTCTACACTGCCATATAATAAAATTCAAATCAAATAATCTGGATGTTATATGGCAGCGTAGATGGGGTCACAGGCTGGATCTACACTGCCATATAATACAATTTAAAGCAGATAATTTTGCTTCAGAAACTGGATTATATGGCAGTGTAGGTGGGACCACAGCCTCAAAGGAAGGCAAAGGCACTCCTTCTGAACAACGCTTGGGAACAAAACCCTGTCATACCCCATGAATTAGAAATCAAAGACTCATAACAAAAACTATAAAGCATTGTGTCACAGCAACCTACCTTATACCCAAGTCTAAAACTGAGAGGTAGGGCAGAGGAATGGTGGCTGAGTTTGGGCCATGCACGAGGACTTGGCTCTCCCCAAAACTGGAACAGCATCTATAACTGCAACTATGGGGTTTGCCTCTTTCTTCAATTCAGGGTTTGTCTACATCCCTTCACTTTCTAAATGAGGAGCTCTTCTCTGATGAAGATTTGACACAGAATACTGATGGGTTGTAGTGCTATTTTAGCACATTTTTCTTAGCTAATTGTGATGCCCAGTAAACTAGTTGAGGTCTTTGATAAACAGTTCATGTTGGGAGGTTCCCCCAGAAGGAGTGAGAAGCATTCAAATATGTCTTTATGATAAAAGGAGTAGGCAAAAACTGGTTTTGCTTCTTGAGACTTGAAGTATATTGTTGGCTTTGTGGGAGATGGCCAGCTGGTGGAAAATGTATTTTGTATGGCTGTGCAAAACCTTTATATTGCGTTCATAAAATGATACTAATTCCTGTCTCCGGCATCTTCTTAGGGGTTGGTATAGCACTTCACTAAATATGGCCAATGCTGAATAGTGACTGCATTTCATGAAAAGATTACTTCTGCTCATCATAAATATGAATTTACTCAAATTCAGAAATTGTTTCATAGTATTTTTTTCAATAGTCTGATGATACAAATTAGATTTCTCCAAGTTTCGGTCATTTTTAGACACTTAGGTCAGTGAAGTGAGAGTCCATAATCCTATTTTCTTTTATTTACTAACATATCAGTGAAGTGTGACATCAGAAATGTAACTTATTGCCTCTATCCTCTTAGTGCTGAGCTGTGATGGTGACCTCTGAGAGTAAAACTCCAGAAATGTAATTTGTTTCTACTATATCTTTACTACGGAACTATGATTGCCACTCCTGGGAACCAATCTCCAGAAACTGGGGAGAAGGGTGAATAAGTCTTCTCCTCAGAATAGTTCTTCTTCATAAATCAAAAGGGAAGACAAGATATATATAAAGTGGCATGGATGTTTAGTGAGGTAAACAGCCATAATATATTAATGGAGAAGAAAGTGCACCTGAAGGTAAGAAAAACCTGTTGATTGGAATCTTTTTATTATTTCAGGAGTTCTTAAAATGTCCCCATGCTGAAAACTAAAACAAATTTTCCTTCCTTCTCGGCTATCTTTTAGTTCGTTTCATAATTTTTCTATTATTCTTGTTTATCTCTGTGCTAATAACTTTGATATAGAATTGAGTAATTCATGTTGCAATGCAGAAACATTTTTAGATGTTTGCCACTTAATGCTTATTTACCTGGGTGTCGAACCCACTGAATATATTATGCCTTACTTCCTAGAGAACAAAGATAAGACTTGACTGTTCAAATGAAATATGAAGCTTATGTGGAGATTAATTCTCAGCCACAACATTTGCAGAGGTTTCAAGATAATCAGAATAATTTTCATAACACAATTTATAAAGAGAATATTTATTCATCACTGGACTATTGGTCTCTGAAAAAAGAACATACTGGTAATGCATGAATCAGTTGTTTAGTGTCTATTTTCATTTCACACTAGCTGATCAATAAATAATTGTGGAGTTTGTTTCAAAAAGGTCCCAAATCCATTAGAACATATTTTACAGAAATAGGAAAAAAAACATGCTAAAATATGTATTCTTCTTTTGCTATAAAATGCAATTTTCCAAGCCCTGTACTGAAGTTATTTGACTCATAGTTTAGATCTATACATAATATTCTACTCTTACGACCTCATCATAAGGGCAAAATTGCCCATCGTACATTGGTTCCTCTTCACTTTTGCCATGGAGCCCGCCAGCTCCCAACCCACGATGTATATTTACTTCCAGTGGAGCCTTGTGGCAAAAGAGATGAGAAACTGGTGTACGCTGCCACCAACACAGGAGGCTTCCAGTTTTGCAAAAGGAACAACGGGGGGAAGTGGGATGGCAGATGCTTCCCTCCGTGGGATGAGGTAAGGGGTAAATTAGGTAATGCAGAGTGGAATGCCCCCCCCCTGACGAATTTGCCACGATATGTGGCAAATCCTTTACTTAATGTAATAACGTCTGCTGCCACCAATAACTCACTCACCAATAATTTCAATTTTTTAAAATTTGGCACCCTTACTCCACAATTATGTGAGTAATGTCTGTATGACAGTTACAAGTATCACTTTGGCAAGATTGAAAATTCTCCTTTCCCTCAGTCTTATCCTTCAGTTCCCAGCCTAGATTATTATCTGTAGCAACTTCTCAATTGTCATTTGGTAATCTTTATTTCTTCTTTTTCAAAACCTTTTGTCTTCTTGAATGTAGGAAATCATTGTGATATACAAAAGTATATTCTACCATATCTGCTCATTGGCTCAACTGACTCAACTGCACCTATAAATGACTTACAATACCTACCCAGGCTTTCAAACAGAGATACTTTCTCGTCCTATATGAAAACATCAGAAAACTAGACTGGAACTTTAACCACCAACTTTTTGCTATGGCTATGACCTACACTCATTCTTGTGCTTTATACCTTACTTATACCTGCTTATTTACTTCTAATTAATTGCCGGCACATGGTATGACTGATCAAAGATCAGAAGAGAAAAAGAAGTAAAATCCTCCTCATCACTGGGAGAATCAATCATGATTGACTTCCATGAATATATTGGTGAGTTAGCACTTGATAATAATCATCTGCTAAATGGCAATCTTTATTCAGCAGCAGTATGCAAGATTCACTATTTAACTAAGAAAGTATCTGGTGTCAAGATATGAGGACCAATTTGCCTATGGAAGATGGGAGGTCAAATGCTTTTGGGAGTTACATAATTATAGTTCTATTATTTTTAAAAGAATTGATAACCAGTTATTCCTTTCCAATTATGATTTGCAAGTGCTTGATTTCTTTTTCTGAAATGTTGTGTTACAGGGGGGAAAAAGATAGATTCCTGTAATTTATACTACATTTGAATTTTTATCTGTAAGCTACACTTAATTCTAGTCTTGGGAAAAAGACTGAACAATTTCTTTGATGTCTGATGAGTACAATCCTTTCACATAAGCCTTTCTGCTCCAAGTAATGTTTTCATTATGAACTATGAAAACCTTTATGTTAGGTTCTGGACATCATTTTCATATTGATTGGGATAACTAGATCCTGACTGAGGAGAAATGTAGGAATGACTGAGTAATAATGATTATGCATTATGTGTGTGTGTGTGGGGGGGGGGGGAGATTTTTTGTTACCACATTTGAAGAATTGCTGCAATGAGAGACTCTGATTATATCTACATTGTAGACTTAATGTGATTTGACCTCACATTTACTGACAAATATGGAATATTGGAAGTTCCCGTTTGCCGAGGCACCACCACTATTTGGCAAAGAAGGCTAAATGCCTTGTAAAATTACAGCTCCCACAATTCCATAACATTGAACCATGGCAGATAAAGTGGGGTAAAATTGCATTATTTCTAGAATGCAGATCCACTCTCAGCCGGTAGCTAGTCTTGTACAATTGTAGCAGTTGGATACCACTTGAGCTGCCATGTCCTCTTCCTGTTGAAACCTGAATTTTTTAATTAGTTTAAGTAATTAGGATTTTCTAGGATTTTTGCTCATTGCAGTATTATAGCTATGTTGCAGAGAATTCTCAATTACTTAGGGGAAATCAAATATCAGATTGTATATGGAAGATTCCTGGCAACTGAAATGGTATCAATGATGTATAAATGTGCAATATAGGTAGACCCTCTAATAGTTACTTTAGGTTGATTGATTGTCTTCAAATATCTGACTTCCAGATGATTTAGGCTGGATCCATACTGCCATATCATACAGTTTGAAATTACATTATATGGTCAGTGTAGCTCAGTGTAATGCAGTTCAATGAGGTTAAATATGGGTCTACACCAGTGGTTCTCAACCTGTGGGTCCTCAGATGTTTTGGGGAAATCTTAATTGCTGGTAAACTGGCTGGCATTTCTGGGAATTGTAGGCCAAAACATCTGGGCATTCACAGGTTGAGAACCACTGGTCTACATCGACCATAAAATGGATTTTCAAACTACATGATATTGTAGTGTAGATCCAGCCGAAGTGTCTTGATGTGAGTTCCTAAGTTCAATCACAAGAATAGCAATATCAATATATTATCAGCTTACAATTCATATTGTACATACTGTACCATGATTTATTTAATGCTCATTGCAAGCATTGTCATTGTGCTTCCTTCTTCTATAGGGGGCCTATATGCTGAAGAACAAAGTCCAATGAATAAATCTACTCTCTCTGAGTTTCTTCTCCTAGAATTCTCAGAAGTTTGGGAGTTTCAGATTCTACACTTTATTCTGTTCCTTGTCTTTTACCTGACAGCAACAACTGCGAATCTTCTCATTGTCTCTGCAATAACCTCTGACTATCACTTGCATACTCCCATGTACTTCCTTCTAATGAACTTAGCCATACAAGATGTGGGACAAATTTCAGTCATTTTCCCTGTTTCCATGGCCAATTCCCTTATGAATGATAGTCACATTTCTTATTCTGGATGTATTGTTCAAGTACTGTTCTATGTATTCTTTATATCATCTGACTACTCTCTTCTGA